GTTCGGTGCAGTTTATTTTATAACGCTGCTAACAATGAATCAACAAATTATCAAGGGAGAAGCTGCAGATACTGCAAATACTAGGTTAAGGGTGCTCATGTACTAAATGCCTGTTGGATTCGCCTTCTTTTAAATTTCCAATTAAAGTACACACACAATTATACACACTAAAGCAGTTTAAGTGCAAAAAAATGCGGATCGTCCTTCAATTTGCAAAAAAATGTATTACAAACTTTTGAAAATCATCTTCAAACGACCGGGTATTTATCATTGCAAATGAGATAGCACATTGCCGTGTACTGTTAAATATTGTTTTGAGAACTAACAATCGATGTTGTGCAACAAAATTGTGCCTAAGATCCACTACAATAAAGTTTTTGAAAAACTGTTGAACCTATTTTAAATCGCCTGATTGATTGTGGACGCAAATTCGTATCAAGAATAGATTAAATTAAATTAAATCGCATCAATAGAATCCCGGTACCGACTCCCTATGTTTTGCTCTCCGTCTGTAGTCCAGATGCTGTCCATTTGTTCAAATGTCCACGATTCAAAGTTCCGAACTGCAAAAATATTACTACCTACTTGTTTAGTGATTTTCATCGGAGACAATTGTTAAATCAGATGTTGAGCGAATATTTTCTAAAGAAGGCAGGGTCAATTTATGAAAAACGCTCAAGATTAAGTGCAAATAAAGTGTCACAACCATTATTAATCACTTTTAATGCAATAATATATTCTATTATTTGTTATTTTATTTTGTAACAACAAATTATCAATATTTAGATATCTATTTTGTAATTTTTCATATTCACATAATCACATAAAATGATAAACATCATTACTGTTTTGTAATAATATATAATAAATAAGTTTTGAATTTAATTGAAAAAATATTTGAGTTTACCTCGGTTATTTCAGAAAACATGGGTTCCGTCTTCTTATTTTGTATCACGCAACGCATTCTTGATGTTAAGACGAAACGAATCTCTCTTCAGCTTATAGTTGCAAAATATGTAAAACGAATTTATTAGGGCTTATTATCAATTCTCTATATTATTTCTATGATTAATTGTGTTTACCACGCATCAAAATATTTTTTTCCATTCACATACTCTTTGATTCCTTTCAGGAGCGGATCCAGCTTTTGAGTCAGGGAGGGTCAAGTAGCAGAAATTCAGACTTTTGTTGTGTATGAAATTAGAAAAATTAGCGTTAGTCGCTGTAAACCCAGCACAAGGAGGGGGGGTCATGACCCCCATGACCCCCCCCCTGGATCCGCCCTTGATTCCTTTAGGATTAAATTTTCTCAATTTTTTAGCCTTGGATTAGTTCAGTTAGAATTTTTTTTTAACATACACGCTATGGCTTACATTACGTATACATATAGTGTGCCAAGTGTATCCTGTCTCTATAGCTCTTCCTCGTTTTACCGTCTATTTTAAACAGATAGAACGTCTTCCAATCACCAAAATTAATTCATTTTTTAGTCCTATTCAGATACAAGTTGTAGCAGACGTTCATGAACAACATACACAAGAGCAGTCACAAAAACATGCTTCAATGCGAACAGTATTAAGTAATGCTGAACGCCAAAAACGATTTTGTGCTAAAAAAGAGCATTAAGTAATAGATCAACTCAAAGTAGCTTTCATCAACCACGAACTAGTGCTGAACGTCAAAGATTATACAAAGCAAATAAGAAATTACAACTAAAAAATACAGAAACTCAAGAAGAAGGGTTTACACAAACCCAAGAAGAGCAATATGTACAACATCTCGTTAAAGAATGTTAAATGTTGCAAATAAAAAAGATATTTTACATTCAAAAGGAAAT